CTAAGGTAAAATGATAATGTTGCATATTTACTCTTTCTTAAAATGAAAAAAATTAAAATCTTAGAAATCTGACTTAAACCTAGCCAGTGGGCAACCTGCTTGAAAATGACTACACATCCATGTCTAAGGGTGAGAAATAATTTATGACAAATAAAGCTCATGAAAAATTCTAATTTCACTCATGTTGCTACAAGCATACCTTCATGCTTTAAAAAAAATGTGGGCTGGTAACATTTTTCTACCTTACTTAGAGTGTAGAGTTAAACATGTGCCCTTACCTCTCCTCCAGTGCACGGGAAAGGATTGGAGTATCTAGAAGTGCAAATAGCTCCCTTCTTGACAACATCATCTTCCAGGCCAAATGTAGCCGTGCAGTTAGTTGCAAAGTACTTGTAAGGCTTCCATGTTTTCCCAAAGTCCTGGGACCGGTCCAGCACCATGGCTGCCGGCCTGGGGGACTTGAACACCATAATCAGATGAGTGAAGTAGAATTCAGCTTCCAGGTCTAACTGGATCTTTTCTCTGTGCACATCCTCAGCAGACTGCCACCACGTGCGAGGAAACCTGAAGGATGAGTCTGCCATGGCAGCTGGCAGGTGAGCCAGGTGAGGCTGGGCAGCACTGCATTTGTCACATTTGGGCTGCTGACAAGTCAGATCAGTGTTCTCACTATAGAAGCAGTACAGTTCAGTGGCGTTCTGACCACAGGTGGTGTCTGCCCAGAGTTTTCTTCCTAAAGCCAAATTTCCCATGCGAGGGTTACAGGCTTTTTCACAGCGGGAACTCACTCCAGCCACTCCACTCAGTCCTAGAGATGGGAGAGCATATGTTATTCAAGACAAACCCATCTGGAAACCTCTTTTGTCCACCTAGTCCATCTTCAACCGTCGAGTTATCCCCATATTGCCCCAAGGCTTTCAGTAAAGAGGAAATGCTACCAAATTTGAGCATGAATACTGTTCTGCATTTATACTATTTGCATATACAAGTGTGTGAATGTGCATGTGTGTGTGTGAGTGTGTGCCTGCGTGCCCGTTTCATGTAAAATTCGCATAGAAGAAAATAAAATCACTCTGGGTAAGAGGGCAAGAGGAAGGAAAGTGGAAACACTGGGTAAAGATAATGGGCCTAAAGATAATGGGACTGCTTTCTAACAGTCTCTATTTTTGAAATACACTCATTTGCTTTTGAAGTCATGACATAAGTAATACCAAAAACCAACGATGTTTTTAAGATCACTCAATTTAGTCTTTCAAATATAATTTGAGTCTTTAGCATTATCTAACATGTTTATGAGAATGCGTTAAGGAGGAAGTGTAGAATTCTACTATATTTTTAAGACGAAAACATGAAAGGACCAATTCCCTAAGAAAATCAATATGAGGTATTGGTATACAATGGGATCTCATTTAGGGATACAAAGCTATAGAGACCACTGGAGCCAAGATGTGCAATATCTATTTTTCATATTAAGTAAATGTAAGTAAGAAAAAACCCTCTAAGCTGCCAAATGACAGAAAAGCTTATTTGACACACTCTCTGCCTCTTGAGTGCTTCTGCCTATGACAGGTTCTACAGTAGTTGCCTGTTTGCTTAACAGGAGAATGTTTACAGTCTGGCAGCCACTAGCAGGACCTTTAAACATAATCTGTGAACTAAAACACCTTCCTAAAGAAACATGCGCTTCCACCCAAACAAAGGTCCAACAGACTTTAATGTTTCAAAATTACTTAAAATGATAAATATTATACACCTACTAACACCCTGACTACATAATATAATCCTTAATTTGGGCTTGTCATTTTAATTATGAATACCTGAAGCAAAATTATCTATTTTAAACGTTAAAACAGAGAGGGAAAAAAAGGAAAAAGAAGTCAAACCCCAAATTCCAGCTAATTGAACGTTTCTGCTTCTTAAGAGGGAGCATCTCTGAATTGGTATCACTATACTGTTAGAGAAGCCAAATGACAGCTTAGACCAAAAGAGAGACATTTCACACACTCAACTGACTATCACGAGCCTCACGAGCCCTATGGTTCTTTGCAACCATAAGAAAGGGCTTCCTTAGGCATTTTTTTTTTTTTTTTTTTTCGGGACACGGGCCTCTCACTGTTGTGGCCTCTCCCGTTGCGGAGCACAGGCTCCGGACGCGCAGGCTCAGCGGCCATGGCTCACGGGCCCAGCTGCTCCGCGGCATGTGGGATCCTCCCGGACCGGGGCACGAACCCGTGTCCCCTGCATCAGCAGGCAGACTCTCAACCACTGCGCCACCAGGGAAGCCCCATTAGGCATATTTTTAAAATGTCAAATTCAAGTGTGCATTATGCCTGGACTCTGTTTGCCACTTTTCTGATTAGCTGGGGCAACAGTTGCTTGTGGCCAGGATCACCCAAACACACAGTGTGCTATGACTCACCTGTAAAGCATTTCAGGGAAAATCATATACTGCCCGTACAAGTATTTTTGACTTGAAACACTTGCCTTGTGATATTTATTTACAACCTCTTGATTGCTTGCATGTTTTTGCCATAACACGGTTTGAAAAGGGAAAGGTTTATTAAAGTTCACTTTGTGGCTGGGGGAGCATGCATAACAGCATGCAGGGGTGCATAAGTAGCAAGAATTAAAGTAAAAGCTTAGACCTTTAACGGCTCCTTGGGAAAAGTACTGAATAATTTTAGATGTCCCCACCCCAAACTAGGAAGAAATCCAGAAAAAAATAATCGGTGGACACAGTACTTAGAGATCCCTAAAGAAGTGACCATCCAAGTATAGCAAAGATGCTCCTAAGAGTCCGACGCGTTTGGGATGCAGACTCTAAAGCCTGGCTTTTACTTCATGCTAGCGTCTCTGGGGGCTGAGTGGATGAAACTGAAGGGAAGGGAGAAGTGTGCCAATGCTCTCTCTCCACCAGTCCGTCCCTCCAGCCCACACTCCCCTTTTTCTGGAGCAAGCGAGATGCGTTTGAGAGACCAAGTGGCCAGAGTCCCTCACTTTCTTTCCCCCTTACACCCTGAACCGCACTTACGCCTAACTGGAAACCAGGTGACCTGCAAGAGGAGGGAGAGGAGCAAAAGGGGTTCCCAAATTTAGAAACGGCAAGCTAGGAACGGGTGGCCAAGGGCAGCCCAAGGCAGCCGGGATGGGAGTGGGAGGGAGAGCGCATCTGACGACGCCTCTACCGGTCGTCCAGTTACCGAGACAGGAAGCAGACCCGCCTCCGACCTCCCGCGGCGCCTCGGCCAGGGTACCAATTCCCCAAGGGCGGCAGGCCGGCTCCGTGCAACCCGGGGCGGTCACTACCTATCGTCCCAGCCCGGGGTCTCACTGAGTTCTAGCCACTGCCCAGGGAGAGGCCACTCACCCCGCCCCAGGTATCCCTACCTGGCTCCCTAGTACCCAGCATGAGGTCGGGGACAACGGCGATCGCTCTCAACAAGAGAGCGGCCCCGGCCCACGCGCGCCCAGGGTCGCTGGGCCACCCCTCCCCATCATTCCTCAGGCCATGAAGTGCCGGGGGATGGCGAGCTTGGTCCTTTGTTCCCTTACAAAATGGAAAGGCAGTTTTTTACAAGTCCAAACCGAGAAAAAAACCAAGGTCGCGCTGTCTCCGGCAGGGCGCACCCAGGATATCGGGTTATCCAAAGGCATGTGTATCGCAGTTGCAAAAAAAAAAAAAAAAAAAAAAAAAAAAAAGGAGCATTAGAGAAAAATATAAAACCGGGATTATAGATGTCTGTGCTCTTAAACAGATCTTCCCAATTTTATATTATTCTTTGTATCTGGTTTTCATTCGGGGGCCTTTATTCCTGTTCAGCTTTCCTGTGTGTGTGTGTGTGTGTGTGTGTGTGTGTGTGTGTGTACACCTGTGTATTTTTATAAGTTTTTGTAATCTTTAAATAAATAACAATTTAAGAATTCAGAAGGGTGGGACGACATTATTTTAAGAGTTAGAGACATTGCCAGAATTTATTTCTAAAGAGATATATTTAAAATTTTTTTCTTTTGCCTCTTCAACTGAGAGAAAAGCGTAACTCTAGAAACACTCTGTATTTGGGGCTGTAAGGAAATTGTTATGAAAAAGTTATTTTAGCCACATCATATCATGATAGTGTAGTCGCAGAAAGTTTAGAATCTCAAAGCTGGGAAGAATCATGTTGATATCTAGGACAGGTACGTAATTTTTTACTCATCTCTCCTGACTTCTGTGTCAGTGTTCTTTAAAACTGTGACCATATTAATTACCTGATATGTAAATCTGTTAAAGAATAGCACTAAGACTTTATAACTATTTGATGGATATAGCAGTGTTCCATTGTAATTCCAATTTGTGATTTTTCCCTTTTCTTAGATCCTGTTTGGATTCCAATTGTTGCTGCTTTACTACTCTTTCTAGTACTTGCCCTGGTAGTTGTATGTTGTCTCGTTAAGAAAAAAAAAAAAAAAAAAAAAAAAAAAATCAGTAGTATTTTAAACTGCTGAGACCCGGGGAAAGGAGGCGGAACATGGCCACTCATTTCATCCTTGGGAGCTGAGCTCTGCGCTCTCAGCCTGCACTCGCCGGCACCCCCGAGTTCCGAGGTGGGGCACAGAAGGGGCGAAAGAAGGGGGTTGGGGGCCCGGCAGCGTCACCACCCACCTGCGGCCACCGCGGAGCAGCCCCAGAGCAGCAGCAGCCGCGCGCAGCTCCCCATGGCCGGGAGGAGCCGGGCCGGGCGGGTGCGGGAGGGAGTCGAGCTCTCGCGGCCGCGGGATGAAGCGCCAGCAGTCCTCGGGAGGAACCGGGGCTCTTTATTTCTTCCTCCTCCTAGGGCGCCAGGCTCGGTCAGTGGGCGCCGGCGGCGGGGAGCTGCGGGCTGGGGCCGCGCCGGGCGGTGGGGTGACCCTCGCGCACCGGCCTGGAGGGGCGCGGGCACCTCGGGGGCGGCGGAAGCCCCGGCACCATAGCCCGCCTGGCCGTGCTGCCCCGCGGAGCGGTCCTGCGGGCTCCTCCGCCGCTAGCCCGGGGCTCGGCGCCCGCAGCAACCGCTGAACTTTGAGAGACCTTTCACTTCCCGGCCGCCTTCGCCGCCGCCGCCGCCGCCGCCACCGCCTCCTGGGCGTCCTCCTCCGCTTTTACCACGTCCTCTTGCTGCTGCGTCTCGGTCCCGTCCTTCTCCATGGGCAGTTCCATGGGATGCATTTTTATTGCACCGACACCGCGGCGCTCCGGTGCCAGCCCTCCTCCCCTCGCACCTCCACCCCTTCCTCCCGCCCGCCCCCCGCGCTCGCTTGACAGCCTGGGCGCAGTAGCCCGTGCGGTCGGGTCGCCGCCGCCGCCCGGGGAGGGATCCTCTCGCCCGACCAGCCGCCCCCGCTGCCTCGCTGCCAGCTCCACCCGCCCGCCTCAGCCCCCGCGCGCGTCCGTCACCTCGCACCCCAGCTTCCCTCGTGCCCCTCCCGTCTCTTGCCCTGCATCTCCCTGTGTGACCCCCCCCTGGTGCCCTCCAGCACCCACAGGCCTCCTCTGGAAGCAGTCTCCCACCTTCTCCCGGAACATTCCAGAGAGCAGTTGACTCCCTCTTGATCAGGTCAGGGCATGCCAAGGGGCTTAAAAAACCGCGAAACAGGCTAGCTCCTACTTCCCACATCCCCCAACAAAAACAAGCCCTCCTCTTCTCCCGCCACCCCTTCTCCCAGAGTCTAACGACCCAGGGATGGAACCCCTCATCCAGTCCGGGGTCAAGGGCAAGGGAGAGCTCATTAACTACTAAGTGGCATTCGCCGCTTCTCTGCTGACTTTCGGGGGGTGGGGGAGGGCATCTTGGCGAAACAATCAATGCTTACTTTATCCGAGGTGTATCCGTTTTGATGTAAAACGTGTTTCCTAATTCAAACTCAAGGTGCTAAAAGAAAAGGGTCACAGGATTAGCTAGTACCCAGTTTAAGAACATCCTTGTCTAGGGGCAGGGGCACGACAAAGACACCCTCTTTGGTCCTTCCAAGCACTCTCTCTCCAGTTGTGCTGCGAAACAATAATGTTGTGTAATAACGTATGGGGAACAATTTAGTAGCGACGGCAAGCAGCTAATTGTGGATAGGATTGCTCAGGGCTGCTGCTTATGGAAGACGATTACACAGCCCTTGAGTCTGGGACTTTTGCAAGTTCTGTGAAGATATAATTCTACGTACACATCCAGGGAAATTGGTTAAAGTTAAGTAGAAAGCAATTTTTTATTGCAGTGTTCATTTTGTGCCTTTAAATATTTTCCAGAAAATTATCTACTTTACAGATACCATTCAGTTGTGTGTGTTACTGATGACGACAGTTCAGAGCTCTGGGGCATATGTAGATATTATTTATGACTCAGCTGGGGACATGTAAGAAGTTTATATCTCCCAGGAGGGACTGGGGCAAGGTCAGCATCATCCATTTGGGAGACATTAAAATTATTCTGGCCAACACTGGGAAGTGGCAAAAGGTGTGGAACAGCAATTTATGTAACACTTTAGAAAATAAACCCTTTGAATTTTTCAAATATTGGCAGTGTTAGGGCTTTCTTCATATCTTATAGACATGTTCCCGATGAAGTCAGTGAAACACTTCTTACCAAATAAATGATAGGGAATTATAACAACCAAAGGCTCTAAGCACCGATATTAACCTAATTAACAAAGCAAATCTTAAAAAAAAGAAAGAAAATGCACTTTTATTATTAACTTCTGTTTCTACTATGTTGAGGCAGAGCTACTCCATTTCTCATTACAAGTGTTAGGGGCATTATATCTGCACCAGTCCTGCCTTGATAATATACTTCCTTGATTGCTCTTTAACTGGTTCCTGTTTCCTTTAACAAGAGAGTAAATGCCTTAATGGTCAAGCAGTCTTTTATACTTAGTCTATATAAAACATTATTATGTTTTTCTTTTATTCTTAACTGAGAACACCTGCTAGATATGTAGTAAATTTTCATTAAATGTTTTTGACTTGAGTAATGTTAAAACTATTACTGTATACTAAGAGCAGGGATTAAGAAGAAAACCAGTGAAATCAGAATGCTTCTCCATATTCTAAAGAAATCTGTATGTTTATACCAAGGTGAAACAGCTCAGGAGAGAAAAGTAATTAGCATTCTAATAAAGTTCATTTGGTTGTATAGTCTAATTTAGTTATAAATTCTATTTTCATTTAAAAAATTTGGGTTTTTTTCATTTTTTCTATTTTCATTTTGAAGAAACTATACAGGAAAAGTTTACCTACCTAAGGAAATTCTTGCTCAGTGATCAGCATATATTGCCTATGATTAAGTGTTTTTGAAAATTTTAGTAATGAGTTTAGAATTTTTTTAAAAAATTATGAATTAGTAGGAAGCTTAGCATGGAATTTTGATAACCAGTTTTCAGAAGCCACATAATTGACAAATCTAGACTACTCCTGAGAACGTGAAAGAAAAATAAAAGGGCCTTTAAGAATTACAATAGATGGCAAAAAGTCCATGCACCAAAGACCTTATTCACAGGAGAGCTCTTTAGGTCTTCACTTAAATTATTCATGCAATGTTAATAAGTTTGGTTATGCTGTTATCCCAGACCATAGCATATTAGAAGTAACAAAGTAGAATGAAGCAGAATCCTGTTAAAACAAGGAATGAGTTGCAAAGTGGTAAGAAAAAAATAGCCATAAGGACCAAAAACCCCACAGCCATCTGAAGACTTTTAGTTTAGAGGCAAATCACCAAAAGGCTGCAAAGGTATCACTCGAGTATAACTTAGTACAGTAAATGAGGTTTCTAATGGATCATGGGATTATTTAGCATCAAAAGGAACCTTAGGGGTCTTTGAGGCCAACTTCTTACCCCATCATGAATTCTCTCCACAAAATCTCTGTCCAATGGTCATCCATTTTCTGTTATAGAAATCTCAGTAAACAAAAGCCTCAAAAGCAGCCCTTTTCATTTTTGGTACTATTTTGTTTAACTCTGACATATTTCTTCTTAAAATTCTACCTATGTTTATAGTTTAGTTGTCTGCAACAATACAGAATAGGTCCAATCTCTTTTCTAATAGGTATTTGAAAATTTGAAGTCAAGTTTTATTGCTCCTCCTAACTATTCTCTTCTTCAAGTGTTTAATTGCCCATGTAGCATGACTTCCAAACCTTTAACCATCTTATTCACCCCTTTTCAGATATACTACAGTTTGTCAATGTTGCTTTTATACTGTGCACCTAGAACTCAACTCCAGGTTTGTCTGAATCGGTGTAGAATAAAACTGAACTAGTAGTTCCTTTAACTTAGGTCTAGGGCTTATATTTCATTAGCCTAAAAATGTATTAGAAGCTTTATGATGTCAGCTGATATTATGCTTGAAGCAAACTAAAATCCCCTTTTTATATACTGCTGTCTTAAAGAGTCATTAATAAAACATAAAACATGTTTTGTTTAACCAGAAGGAAAGAGTTCGACTAAAATACACTGCAGATAGCAAGCATTCAATAAATATTAAGGAAAAAAAAGCAACAAATTCAAATTGCTAAATTTGAAAAATGGTTAAAATTTTAAAAGGAAACTGTTACTCCTGAATGGGATAAGTATCTATTTTCTGAAAAAATCATCACTTCTATGGAAAATTTGATTCAATAACACAGTATACATTGGTATTACTATACATTTCCAAGGAAAGGAGGGACTTTGAAATAGTGATATTTTTAGTATACCTACTATCTTTCCTCCATGGAACTATAAACAGTATCTCATTTATCCTGGAAGCATCAATGTGTGGGAAGGAACAGGTATAATTTTGCACATTTTCAGAGAGAGAAAATTATGTGAAAGATATAAATGCCAAATTAAGATCATCCAATAAATATACACCAGAGATAGGACATGGGTTTCCAGATTTGTTTGTTTGTTTTAATCATTGCTTATCCATCAGTTTTCCATGAGTACAATCTTCTCTTTTTGAACTAGAAGACTTTTAGGAGACAATGAAATGGAGAATTGTTTCCATTGAAATAATCCTATATTTTGCTTTCTACCTGGTCTATGCCCTTCAAATGCCCTTTAAAAACACCATCCTGGGAATTTCCTTAAGCTTTAATCTAAGCCTCCTGCCACTGGCACTGTGTTTCTTATTTCATCTGCTTCCTGGCTACAGCTGCTCATTCCTAGGAAGGGAGTAAGAGCCTTTGAAAACACATGTGCTCTTCCAGGAAGGTAAGCAGTACTTTCCTTAAAAAAAAAAAAAAAAAATGCACACATGCTCTCTCATGTTCAAATTAATTATATGGAGTCTAGAAAGTTCAAATAAACAAGAGCAGTTCTGTTGTTGTTACAGAGATAGCTACTCTGGACAGCACTGTATTGACAAAAATTTTAAACATTTTCTCTTCAAAATAGCTCTTAGCTAAAACTTTCTATACATATTTCTGACATTAATGAAAAGATGCTCAGAGACAAATAACTACTTTTTTAAACGTAGGGAAATAGATAAAGAAACAGCTACCAGGGCTTCCCTGGTGGCACAGTGGTTGAGAGTCTGCCTGCCGATGCAGGGGACACGGGTTCGTGCCCCGGTCCGGGAAGATCCCACATGCCGCGGAGCAGCTGGGCCTGTGAGCCATGGCTGCTGAGCCTGCGTGTCCGGAGCCTGTGCTCTGCAATGGG